CCCATTTTTCTTCTCCTTTTGAGTGCTCTACCACCCACTTCTGCAGTTCTGCTATTTGTTCCCCGTTTTCTCCCCCCGCCAAGTTTTTTTCCCCAACAGCAGCAGAATGAAGTTGATCTCATTCTTGTCAGCTTCAGTGCTGGCTCCGGGACTCAGGATGGCAGCAATGGAAGCTGACAAGCCTGCTGCAGCCTGGGGAAACCGAGCGGCATTAGGGGCTCCAGGGCTGCCTGTTAACTGAAGCACTCTTTTTAATTTTTTTTTTTTGCCTTCCAAGTCAACAATAGAAAGGCTGTCTTCACAATCACAGAGGCTAAAAACCGAATTTTGCAGCCTGCGTAGTGGGCGTGTGGAGCGCTCTGCCCCCTGCCTTCATCTTGTTTGGGTCGGGTCTTGTGCAGCAGGGTTGGCAGGTGCAGCTCTAGTGTGGACAGTGCTGCATCAGAGTAAAAAATGGGTCTGGCTGGTGCTGGGTACTTTGGTTTCTAACCCCTTGGTGCAGATTAGGCTTTGCCAACGTGTGATGTACTCAAGGTAGCAGCTCCTAATAGATCACTGTTGGTTGCCTGCTCTCCTCTCTCGTGACGTGCTCTTGGATTAGCAGCATGGTAATCCCTAGGTCCGGACCATGCTATTGATGGGCATGGTTGCCACCATCTCTCTCTCTCTTTTTTTTATTCGGTCTTTTCTTTGGTCTCTTTCTCTGCACTTTTCCTGTCCATTCGTTCTCTGGCTGTCTCATTTCTGATGGCTACTTCACGCATCAGAAGGTCTCAGACCGTTGTAGGTGGGTGGGATGTCCATAGATAGCTCTTTGAGGTCAGGGCGCACATGCTCCCGTGCTTGAATTTTAAATAAAATACAGGGGATTCAGAATGAGCAATGCAAATCCTTCTGTAGTTTACTTGGTACTTAAATATTGCAGCGGGTGTGGGTGACTTTGGCAGCACCCAGGCACAGTGATTCCCAGTGGCGAGACCTCAGACCTCTTACTAAACCTCTTGCTTTTCTTGGTTTAGAGTTGGATGGTCTTTATCGCCTCTTGGTGAAGTTTTCAGGGTCTCAGCATTTTCCATTGTGCCGGGACAAGTAAACCAAATGATCTGCCCACCGCAGAGTTCAGCGGTGCTGTTAAATGACAAACCGCACTGGTCCATACCAGAGGTTTCTGTGTACCTGGCACATCTGCAGGGCTCTGGATCTTGAACTCCTCTGCCTTAACGCATTAAATTTAGAAATTCAGAATCTGGCTTGTGAGGTAATTAGCAAGAGATAATACCCACTCCTTCCTCTTAACACCCTGATAGAAAAGCATCCAGGAAGGACTCCTGGACCTCAGAGATAAGCTGCCAGCTGCCACAGAGACTATCAAAGGGTGGCTCAAAGTCAAGAGCAAACAGCTGATGATTTTTTTTTATGGTTCTTAGTTTGTTGCTGTGGGTGACAGGAAGCCATGTTCCCCAAGCTGTTAGCTTCCTGTTTTATTTTTACACCTAATGTGAGCAGATCAGCATACCCATTACAAAGGGAGTTGCCTGCATCTGTAAGGCTCTTCCTCCTCTGACCTGAAAAAAGAGATTTTTCTCTCTGAAATGCATTGAGAACTTGGGAGTACATTTGTTTTTGCTTGGTTTGAAGATGCTTGCAGATGTAGCTAAATACTCATCAGAGCCCCATTTACTCGGGAGTGAAGTTTCATTCTCTCTTTTGGGAATGGGGTTGTTGTGAGAGAGGCCAGTTACCTCCACGACTGACTGTGCTTGCTGGAAATCTTGCTGTTAGGAAGCACTGGGAGGGTAACAGGCAGGCACAGAAAACCACTTTCTGCAGTGCAACCCTCCAAAGTCCTTGTAGTCCATAAATCGTTAAACGCACTGGAAGTCGGGGTTGGAAGTGCCGTCCATCTGCTGCAAGAAATCAAGGTTCATATTCCCCTTCCCTCCCCACCCCTGGAGTTGGGCTGCAGCCCTGAGTCCTTACAAAGCTACCAGTTAGGATCAGCTATTGAAACACTAAAACAATGGTTCAGTATAAACCTAGGCCCCAAAGGGAGTTTCCAAGGGAAGAGGGGCACAGCCTACAGGATAAAGAACAGTCACCAGAAAGTTTCCTGGTCAGCTGCAAGCATTTCCTGTTGTCTCGGGAGAGCCAGCACTGCCTGCGCTGCCCTTGAGGAAGGAGGGACTGGATATGACCATGGGGTTGATGTGTAATATGTGCTTAAGGTCTGCCAGCCCTCTGGGTGAGACAATGGCTGAGTTGCAGCGAAGGTTCTGGCGCTGTCGTCAGACGTTCGCCAGCTTTGGTGCAGGAACGAGCCTGTCCGCAGGAAGGGTGCAGCGGCAGTTGTGTAAACAGCTCTTTGCTCAGCAAAGGTGGGTAGTTTTCCACTGCCGCCCGCACACCTGAGCCAGCAGGTCTCAGCGGCTCCCCTGCAAGCCACAGAACAGCGGGATCTTTCTTTTCGAAGAACCAGTTTTATAAGAGCAGGGAGGGGAAAAGCAGGCTTATAAATAAAGCCATTTCAGAGCAGGAAAAGCGAGTGCCATGGGCCTGGTGTGCCTGGAATTTGCAGTTGAGTAATCCTTTCCTGTTTCTTTTTTGGGTTGTTTTTCATCTTTCAGAGCACTGCCTGAAGCGGGTCCACCATGCCGTTAGTAACGAGGAACATCGAGCCAAGGCACCTGTGCCGTCAGACGTTGCCTAGCGTTAGAAGCGAGCTGGAATGCATGACCAACATCACCCTGGCAAATGTCATCCGACAGCTGGGCAGCCTGAGTGAGTACCATGGCGAGCCTGTGCCTTGCCCTCAGGAGCTGTTAGCGCTCTTTATTTAGCTCCCTCCCTCCTCTTGCGTTCCTGCTTCTCCCCCAACTGCCCTCCCTGGGTAATGCTAAAATCTTCTCCCAAAGAAATCAAGCGGCTCGTTTCTTCTCCTTCTCCCACCACTTCCCCACCCAAGAGAGGACGGGAGGGGAGGAGATTCAGGGACTGCAGCAGAATTGCAGATGGAAGGATGGAGCGCCATTCAGGCTTGTGAAATGGGAGGCTCTCCGAGCAGCCAGTATCTTACATCGGAGAATGTGCCTGTAATTGCACGCACTATTAAATGTAGCTAGACTGTGTTAAATCTACAGTGTGGCAGTAGCCTCTTATTTTTAATGAAAGGTAATCAAAACACATAGGCAGAATCCAGCCTGTCTGCCTGCAGTACGTTTATTGCCTCACAAGCCCCAAAGTCGCCACTTCAAACTAAGAATTGCCTCCGGGGCATTGGAGTTTGCAGGCTACACGGACAAACGACAACACAAATCATAACCATGGCTGGTTTGGCTCTCTAGCGAGCTGACCGATAGCCTTACAATGGGCAGAGTGAAAACACAGGCCTAAGCCTTATAATAAAAATAAATGGTAAGAGCCATTGTGTCTGCAGTTGGCCTTGCAGTGTGTCTGATACTAAAAATGTCTACATAGTCACAGACATGATCAGTCTGTTTCCACCCCCCAATCCAACACTGGGGAAGGTCCTGTAATTATTAGGGTTCTCTTAAAAAACACCCTGTGAGTGTGTGACATGAGGGATCATGCAGTAAATCTGTGCAAATCTCAAATGCAGAGTGACAGAGCTAATCCAGGTCCAAGAGGCATGCGGCGGGTGTGACGAGTACCGGGGAGATCCCTGAGGTTTAGACCTTCTTCGTGCATCTCAGCTAGTCAAACCATCTCTTTGCGAGTCTCATCAGAGATAGCAAAGTGCTGGAAGCCAAATTACAGCCTGGTTCCTTTATCAGGAGGGTACCGAGGGAGCCTGGCTCTGGGGTTTGGAGAGTGCAAGCTGCTGGACCAATTGCAGATGCAACGAGGAGAGTGCTGTAGGGGAAACGCAGAGGAAGCGCACAGAGGCAGCAATACTTGGGTGTATCACTGAATTTGAGAGGAACAAAGAAGGAGGAACTAGCATCTCCTAAGTCCTACTCTAGGGCTTAAGATGATACTTTTAAATAAGATATTTGCTCTGATCGCTGCGGGTTGTTTGTACCAAGTGATCATCTTCTAGTTGTCAGCATACTGCTTCCTCATGCCTTGAATACCGGAGTAATCAAGGGTGGGTTCAGGAAGTGACAACAGACCTGTCATATAATCAGCTGTGCCTATCACCCCGCTAACTTGTTTACAAAGACACGCACGCAAAACCTGTACAGTATTCATAACACAGTAACTTCGTTACTATCACAGCCACTGCATTCGTCATCTTCGTATTTTTGTCAAGTCCATGATGTTGTAGAAGCAAGAAATAGAGAAGACCTATGAAATCAGTCCGTCTTCCTGCTAGTACACTATAAAGATCATTTCAGAAGTTATGTTTTTTGCAGTAAAAGCAACTGAGTAGCTAACACAATGAAAGCTGCCCCGTCCCCCCCCAAAAGTGCATGAAATACAAAAGTGTGTACTGGATCTTTCTTATATGATATCCCTATGTGGATGCAGTTATGCAAGTATGGGAATAAACATACCCCCAAACGCACAGACCAGTGCATGTGATACCACATATTGTGTTTCAAGTGTAGTTTTCACCATTGTAAAACTAACATTGAGGTTTTTTCCAACATCTGCAGCCTTTCCCTTGTGAAATTGAAAAAGGCATTCCCGCTCTTGTTAAAACGGAAAGCAAATTGCAACTTTTTTGAGGTTTTTTTTTGCTGTGAGGTGTGTCAGATTGTGCTATAGGTAACCCTTGCCTGTGCTATTCTGCAGTCCTTTGCAAAAATGTTTGACCTCCTCTTACAGCAAGGTAGTATAGAGAGGATGCTTCACGAAAGGCAATTGTGATGAGCTCTCCCTGACTCCTGGGTCTGAGACAACAAATACTCTCCTCTGAGTTAGCCCAGGGAGGAGACAGTGTCCTGCATAAAACTTCATATACAGTGGGAGGAGAATCATATTTTAAGCAACTTGCATAGAAACCCCAGGTGCGGGGCTGACTTTGAGGATCCACATTGAACACCCCCCTAAAATGCACTTATCATTTTACCCACGTGGTTCGTTGCATGAGGGGCTGAATTTTTTTTATTTATTTTTTTTTTAAAGAGCCTGAAGTTCAGCTCTAAAATTTTTATTTAGTTTCTGGAGTGTGTGGTGGGATTTTCAAAAGTACTCAGCGCTTGACAGTTGCCAGTGACTTCAGAGGGGAAGCTCTTGGCTATTCAGTGCTCTTTAAAAATCAGACTGCTTATTAGCAGCTTACCTCTGGGCTTCTGTTTTGCCAGTCTTAGCAGGAAATGTTTAGAGACTTACGGTTCTGCAGGAGCCTGGCAGAGTGCTGCTTCTGATGGTGGAGCAGTTGGGCGGCAGGTGTGACTAAATCATTAATAACCAATGCTTTTGGTTTTATCTCCCCACCCCTGTTAGGTAGTACCTGAAAGTCCCAGTCAGGGACCAAGGAGCAATTGTGTTAGGTGCTTTACAAACAGAAAACAAAAACGGCCCAGACGTCTCTCTTTTCCTTGTCCTCCCCTGTCTGTGTCTAACTGTTGTCTCTGGCAATCTAAGTGCAAGGCAAGCTCTTTAGGACAAAAGCCATCTTCTTCTGTTCATACAGTGCCGGGCACAATGGGCTCCATGACAGGCTGATAGGCACCTGCACAGGGCAGATAATTATTAATTATGTGTGTTGTGGCAGGCTGCTGGCCGGTGGCTTGGCAGCCCAGCAGAGGTTTTACTAAGGGAACATCCCCGTTCAAGCAACTCCGGCAAGAGTCACCGTACATATTTTTTGATCTAAAATAAACTTGAAAGCGTCAATTTTTCCGATGCTGCCACCTGAAGGAACTAAAGGGTCAGTACTCTTGTCTGCGACTGCAGCTGGAGCTGGATTTCGCATATAGGGTCTAAAGAACACTGAACTGTAAAAATATGCACCAATTACCCTCGAGATGGCCCTACTGCAGGGTGGTGGCTTGTAATATGCGAGCCTTTGGAGGGTCCACGGAGCAATAAAATCTAACTATATTTGCTTGTCTAATAATGGGAACATGATAGACCCCTAAAGGGAGTTTAGACCAATCGGACGCGGAGTAATACAACATCCTGTCAGCTTGACTGGTGTCAGCCCTTCTTTATTACTTTAATAAAAACTTAAGAAGTATGCCTCAATTGTGTTGCGTTATTGTTTAAAGATCCCTGAGAAGGGTCAGCTTCAGCTGGAGCGGTGCCTCGCCGCACCGTGCCTCACCTCCTAGGCTAATATCAGCACTGACAAATTTGAAAACAAATGTGGCTCTTTTAAATGCCAGTAATGGCTCGCTAATGCTAATAGCGAAGCAGCAGCAGGTTGGCTAGTAGTAGGGAACAGTATCCGGAAAGCTGTGGAGCAACATGGGCAGGGGGTTGAAAAGCCTAATGCAGCCCAGAAGTGTAATGCAGCTGCTTTAATATTCCAGGTAAATTTGCAGAGGACATTTTTGGAGAGCTCTTTACCCAGGCCAACACCTTTGCCTCTCGGGTGAGCACTCTGGTCGAGAGAGTTGACCGCTTGCAAGTCAAAGTCACTCAACTGGATCCCAAAGAGGAAGAAGGTAATGGAGTGGAGCGCGGCGCTTGCAGCCCCCGCATGCTAAAGAGCCCCGGAGTTCACAGCCTTGGAATGAGTTTGAAGTTGTTTTAAGTGCTAGAGGCTCGCGGGTGGGTTTTTCCCCCCCTTCCACTAAAGAGGCATTCTTCCCTCCTCTCCTTGAAAAGCCCTTTGCTGCGTGCATGTGGAGGAGTTCCAAACCAGTCTGCTTCTGCTGGCTTGGGCATTATCAAGTCTCCACACACAGTGGCTGTCTGGTCAGTAAATGAAATGGCAGCATAGCTCTGTTTACAGAAATTTTAAAAGCTCATCAGCACCTTTCTTGACAGCCATAGCTAAACCGGCTCTGCTCTTGGTGGAGACAGGGTCAGAGTGTTGCTGGGCTTCCTAAGAGAGCTGTGGAAAAGGGAACCTGACCCCAAAAAGCGCTGAGCATGCTGAGCCCCACAACGGAAGTCAGATATTGCGGCTTAATCTTCTGTGTCAATGGCTTAAGGGGAGGTGTCCTTCATTTTCTCTCTTCACTGCTTCCCTACAGTGTCCTTACAAGGCATTAACACAAGGAAGGCCTTCAAAAGCTCTACCACTCAGGACCAGAAGCTGTTTGACAGAGAATCTCTCCCAGTTCCTGTCCTTGAAACCTACAGCACCTGCAATACTCCTCCACCCCTCAACATCCTCTCGCCTTACAGGTAAGGCTGCAGCATCTCCGCAGCCAGATGAGGTGATCACTCAAGGAGCAAAGGTATCATCCAACCTCATCAAGAAGTGCAGTTTCCTATGGGAAGGAGAGTAACCTGCTGGAGTGTCAGGCAGTCTCTACCCTCGCCTTGGGCTTTCTGTAGTTCTGCTCATGGGGTTGGGCATACAAATACCACTAGAAACTACATGTTAGGTTACCTTGTGTTGTTTCTGAGGAGAGCCCTGAATAGCACTGCATAAATTTCCTAGTTGTTCTTTATGATGCATGTTGTCATGCTTCTCAGTAATCATGCCCCTTTCTGAGAGCTTTCTTACAGACCAAGTTGGGCCCAAATAGGCAGTGCAAGAGGATCCTGTAAATTTTGGGATTTCTTTCTATATTTTCTGTGCCAGGTCTCCGGTGCCTGTTGCAACCTAGAACCTGGCTAGATAAGCAGCCTGAAGTCTTTCCCCATAATGATCTAGCTGTGTCATGTCATCCTGTCGATGCTTGCAGAGCAGGGGGTCAGAATGTGAATTTTTCTGTAGTCCACCTCCATAAATATCTTTTGAACAGGTAAAAGTAATTACAGATAGCTGGAGGCAGCTGTCTTCCACGGGATGCAGCCGTACTGCAAAGTAGGAGTGTGTGTATGTGCTCATGAGTTTCAAGGACGCTGCTGCTCTGATTTAGGGTTTCTGCAGCAGAGAAGATGGTTCTCCACAAAAAGAAGGGAAAAAAAAAAAAGCAGGATATGGGTGAGGGGAAAGGAGGAACTTGCCAAAAGGTCACAGTACGTGCAATTGCATGAAAGGTTTGACTCTGCGTGCTCTTGGAGGAAGTAAGAGGAGCTCAGTCTGTGGTGTGGGGGGAGCAGGATGCAGAATTTCAGCAGAGTTTCTCTGCTTTCTGATAGGAGTTTTGTCTAGGGCTTTGAGACATGTCCGCTTGGGGGTGTATTTATCAGCCTTGCTGTGCAGCCATGCTGTCTGCAGAAGGGCGGCGTGAAGAGAGGAAGTAGGAGGAGGCCTTGACAGAAAGTGGGAGGGGAGGTTATATTTTACAGGGGCAGAGTGGAGGTGAGAGAGGTGCTGTTCTCTTAGTGATGATTCAGAACAGCTGAGGTCTTGCACCGAACTTCAGATGCAGAAATCCAAACCGGGGGCGAATTGTGCTGCAAGGCCTCGAGGGTGAAATGAGTGGCTCCTGTCAGACCCAGAGGCCTGCTGTCTGTTCTGAAGGAGATGAGAAGCAAGTGTAAAATGTCTGGCCTTTTGTTTCCAACTCCTGGAGGGTTGGCTGTGGCATTTTGTTTGGGCTTCGTGCAAACACCTAACTGGCTCTTGTGTGTCTTTCTGTGCCAGAGAGGATGGCAAAGAAGCACTTAAGTTCTACACCGACCCTTCATACTTCTTTGACCTTTGGAAGGAGAAAATGCTGCAGGACACCAAGGATATCATGAAAGAGAAGCGGAAGCACAGGGTGAGGGAACAGGACGTCTTTGCACACCAGCAAAATGATCCTAGACAAAAGTTAGGCAATAGTCTGAAGTAGCTATTCTTCCGATCCCGGTGTTTCCTTCCCCTTGGGTTCTTTAGGGAGGAATTGGGTGTTCTCACAAGTAAAAATACAAAACGCAAATCCTAGCCTGATTGCTGTAGCTGAGCTTCCTTTTAACACTGGTGAATAATACGGCCAGTTGCATTACGAAAGGACTTCATAGCTGGCCTGCCAGGGATCACCTCAAAGTGACTTGCATTTTAGGTGACTGCAGCATCACATCTCAAAGCATATCGGGGCTTTCCAGCCAAAGCACAGAAGCAGGGACTTGGGCATGACTGAGTTCTGGAAGTGAGCTTGGTCATGGCCCAGCCCAGCTTCTCATGGCAGGCGTGTGTCCATGTAACACAAGTCCCACTTAAGTCACCACTGTTTGGCAAGGGGTTATAGGCAGCCTCAGCATAGGGCAAAGAACATACAGGCCAGGGAAGGTAAACTGCCCTACCATTCCTTGCCATACTAGCCTAGTTTTTCTCAGGCACAGTTTAAACACGCTGGCTGGGCAGTTTTGGAGAAGGGAGTTTGCATTCTTGACAGCATCTGTTGAAGCTGCAGTGTAGCTGGAGTATTAGTTTTAGTATTGATCTGCCAGTTGGACCCTTCAGTAGTGAAGGCTCTCTAAAATACTTCATGACATTAGTACCATTTCCCCAGCTCTTTGCCACCCCCCTGCCAGTGACCCTGAATAAGGAAGAACTAAACCAGCCACCATTTTGTATTCTAATGGGTTCCCCCCCCACACACACACTCTTTTTCTCATGTAGAAAGAGAAGAGGGAGAATCCCAACCGAGGGAACATTAATCCTCGGAAGATCAAGACCCGGAAGGAAGAGTGGGAGAAGCTGAAAATGGGCCAAGAGTTCATTGAGTCCAAGGATAAACATGGGCCTGCTGGGTAAGTGTCTGTGGCTGTTCATCCTGCCCCCCACGAAGGGGAAGTAGCCTTGCATTGCTGATTGTAATGCAGTTCACCCTGCTCTGCAGTTTCTCCGGCTTTGCAGTGCAGCCTGGATCGATACCACTGCTAATCAGAGTCTCTAAAGTAAATCCATGTGACGATTTGAAATTTGCTAAATAAATCACTAACTTAGCAGTTTAGAGGGGCGAGCCACGAGTGGTTTTCCAAGGCAGCTCTGCTCTTGGCTCTCCTGTGCCACAGACCTAGAAATACCAATGGCTTGGAAGTGGCAATAAGTGCAGTACCATCTAGTTCACCAGGACCGTGTTAACCAAAAGGCAGTGCAACTGGGCAAGAGGGTGGAAACAGGAGGTGCAGATTCTGTTCCCACCCTAGAAATGTCCTTTTGAGGCAGCCTTGCAGGGATCAGGCTGTGCTTGGGCCCTGGGGGAGGTGGTGGGTGCTGTCTGCCATGTGGAAACCCCCCTATCAAAAAAAATCAGCAAGTAAGATGAGGCGGTTTCTTCACCCCATGACTCACATCAGCACTCAAGGAGTTAAAGGGACATCATTTTAGTAGCCTTTCTGTCTCCTTGTAGTTGTGGCATGAATACATTTAGCAGCCTCTTCCTGGGGAAAACCCGGTGGAGATGGGGCAGGCAGATATTCCCAGAGCCGGCTGCTTCAGGTATCTGTCTGTTTTGCATCAAGAAAGTGTTCTTGGGTCTTGCAGCGAGGGGGCGGGGCAGCGTCTCCATGATTGCTTTGTTGCGTTTCACAAATTGCACTTCAACATTTTAAGCCTCTTCTCCTCCTCACCAGGTCTTTTGAGCTACAGCTCTCTCTCCAGCCCCCTTTGCTCGGAGATTTTAATTTAACTGCTGACATCAGTTAGGCTGAAAGCAGACTGAATCCCCACAATGCACTTCTCAACATGCTCCCTTCTTGCTGCTTGCAGCTTCTTTTCATTTGAGAAAATCCTGGTGGTTTTGCTGCTGTTTTTAAATCCCGCTCTTCATAGTTTTAAAAATAAAACTTGTTTACAGGAGGTCTGGCTGGAAGAATCAGGCTGCACAACAGCACCTTTCCCTTGCTTCCCTGTTTTCCATTTTGGCTTCTGAGCCTTTGAGACCTGTTTTTCTTTCACTGCTTGGAACAATCTTTCTGACTGTCAGAGGAGGGGGTGATTCATTTCACCAAGACATGTGGCTTCTGCTCTGGATACTTTATTATTGCATCCATAGTGTGCTAGGTGCTTTCCCAGGCATTCAGGAAGTGCTAGTCCATGCCTTGATAAACTCCTAGTTGCACCTGGGACTTTTTTGGTGCCATTGACAATGTGCAGCCTAACAGAGATCTTGCAAAGTTCATTTTGGAGCAAAATCCAGCCCTGAAATAAAAGCAAATATTAAAAATACTAAAATTAGTAGGAGTGGGGTTTTTTATAATTATTATTTTAAATAAAACAAAGGAAAATGAATTTCCCTGCAGTGTTTGGGAGTGAACGTTGAGTAGAGAATGACATTGAGTAGATGCTAATAGTAAATAAAAATGGAAGTAACCAGCATGCTTCCATTTTTCTGAACTGAGAAGCCCACACAGTAAATCTTAGGTTTCTAACAATCTGTGCCTTTTTTTTCCTGGAAGCAGAGGTAAGGAAACTTAATTTTACTGTGTATAGGCTGTTTTGAACTGGACTGTGCTTTCAGCTGTTCTTTGTATTCTGGTAGTATATAAGGATGTCATGTCAGGGCTGCACTGCTTTGGGTGTTTTTATGTAGAAAGAAACTCTTCCTTTAGAGGAGTTTGAATAATATGGTTTCTGCTGTCTGCATGGCTGTCCTCTTGTTCCCATGTTTCTGACTCCCTGCTGAGAATTTTCTCCTCATCCACAAGGAGCACTGGGTATAGCTGAGCTACTGTTTTCTTTTAATCTTGTGTTGGCTTTTTTTAGGTACCCCTCCAACATGGTGTATCAGAACGGCAGCATCGGCTCCAACGATAGCATGGATGTAAACTGCTATCCTCCGCCGCCACCGTCAGACTCCCTCATGCCTCCACCTCCCTCGTTCCTAGATGATAGCCTGCCTCCACCACCAGTGGAATTTAGGTAACTTCCAAGACCTTTTGTCTCGCTATAGAACCGCACGCGCTGCAAAGCAATGGCATAAGACAGGGTTGGCTGCTCTGCTGAAACCCATTAACAAATACTGTACTGAGGTAAGAGCGAGCCTGTCTAGAAGAAAAGTGCACAATGCCAGTGACCCCCTTTGTAATTTGGGAGACAGTCAGCAAAAGTAAAAGTCATAATGAGAACAACAGCAGGTAAAACTTCAAGTGCTTCATAATATCCACTGTGGAAGGAAGGCATTTCCCCAGTTCTCCTGTAATTTCAGGTGTTGACACCCTCCTCCTAGCTTTGCAGTTCCAGTGAACAGTTTTTGTTTGGTCAGGAGAGTTTCAACTGATAGGTCTCTTTCTCCACGTACAGATATGTTAGAACATGTGGCCTTGCCTCCCCAGCCACTCTCCGTACAAAACTGGTTTCTCATACTAGATTCCTGCCCTATCCCTATCTACCCTCTCTGATCTTTGCAAGGGCAAGTTGTAGGTGCTGGCAAACATCACAGTTTGAGGGCTTGGGAACCAATACTGCCAAGTGCAGAGTGTCTCCTGCAAGGTCTTGAGCACCCTCTTGGCTTCAGCGTACATTTAACCTATTGCCTTCAGTGTAAGTTTGAGGGTACACGCATTCTGCAGGATCAGGCCCATTACGTACCAATTCCAGGCTGCAAAATTATGTTTTAATAGTAGCTCAAGCCACAGAGGTCTGAACTATAGAATATTGCTTCCATCACCGGTGAATGTTAATAAGCAGAGAGGGAGAGTGTCTGACAAACAGCACCAGTTTGTCTAAGGGCAGTACAGCGCTCTGAAATGTGATTGAAGAAAATACTCTGATTTCTCGTAGCCCAGGCTCTGGTGCTCCAGCCTGCATTCTTTTCCAGGACTAGAGGTGTGGGGTTTTAAATGGCATTTGATCTGGCATGCACAGTTACTGAAATCTGTGGCTGCTCACTAAGAATCTCTCTCCAGCCCCACCCCCCCAACTACCATTATAAAATAACCAGTAATCTCTCTCTATCAGATCAACACTGTTAGCTCCGTGTTAAACTTGCCCAGCTTTGAGGCAAAACCATTCATGTTTGCTGTTTACCAGGCAGTGAGCCATCATCGTAGGGCTTCCAGTAACGACATGTGCAGTAGTTGATGGTGCTTCCCAGGCCTGTAGTGTTTTCTGCTTATGGAAACAATTTTGTTTCCAGATTATTCACTCAACTGTGAATCAGTGTTTCCCATCAGTGTGTACTGGATCTCCATGCATTGTTATCCTAGACCTAGGAAAAGCGGTGGCAAATCATCCCTAGCACTAGAGTTGTAGGCTTCGAGCCACAGCAGTGAATCCAATGAACAGCTTTATACAAATGTACTAATAGCCCAGGAACACACGCAGCATAAATAGCAAACGGAGGAATAGATGTTACCTCACCTGCCATTCCTTACTAATAAATGCAGCCCCTTGGATTTATTGATGAATGCTGCTGCGGCAGTATGGGCTGAGAAGGCACTCAGGGCTTGGTCATGCTGCCTGGCCTCGGGCAGGGAGAGGCTGGATGGCTGGTTGATAAGATGGTTCTGTCAGCTGCCCTGTGAGCTATCAGTTGTTCTGTTGCCTTAGCCAGGAGAAAGGCAACAGGATACTTAATACCAGCAAGCAGCGTCCTGGGGAATTTCAGTAGAAGCTGGAAGTTGGAGGTGATTGTTTGTCAGAGAAAATCCTTCCTGCACAAAGGTTAGTTGATGTAATGTAAGCGAAGCTCACGGCTAAGGCTCCTCTTTCTCTTTCTTCCACAACAGCTACCCAGTAGACAACCAAAGAGGTTCTGGCTCTGGAGGGCTGAAGAGATCCAGCCTGGTTAGTCCAAGCCACCCTCCACCAGCTCCTCCAACTGGATCCCCTCCAGGAGCCAGGCCAGGCTTCGCTCCCCCTCCAGCTCCTCCGCCACCACCACCGATGGCAGGAGCCCCCCCACCGCCACCTCCTGCAGGCTTTTGTAAATCCCTTCCTACACT